ACAGTTTAAAGAAATACATTGCTTAACAACATCAAATTCAGTGGCTCACACCTGTAATCCTAGGTACTCAGGAGATTGAGAACTGAGGATTGTAGTTCAAAGCCAGCTGGGGCAGGAAAATCCATGAGACTCTTATCTCCAATAAACCACTTAGAAAATGCTGGAAGTGGTGCTGTGACTCAAGTGGCAGACTAGCCTTGAGCAAAAGAAGCTCAGAGATAGTGTCTAGGCCCTGAGTTCAAGCCTCAGGCCTGCCCACCCCAAAAGAAAATAGAGGGCTAGCGGTACATATGGCTCAATGGAAACTTTGTCAGACGCTGGGTTTGATCTCCAGCACAGCAAAGAAAAAGAAAGCTTAAATATCCTGGCAAAAATAAGCAGTGCTATTTTATATTGCTTGCCTTGCAGGGAAGGGGTTGTAACTGAAGAGGGCAGGAGGGCTGACCTGGGGGCTGACTGCACAGGTGTACAGTTCACTTTTCCAAAACCCATGCAGCTACACAGACCTATGTGAAGTATATTTCTGCCTGTTTTGTACACCCATACACCCATTAAATTAATGATTACACATCTAGGAATAACCCTAGAGACATATACATATGCAAATGACACATTCAAAGATTCCATTGTATCACGGGTAGTATCAAAAGATTGAACAACAGTGCAGAATCGCCCAGCAGAGGCAGGGCTAAATAAACTTTGACCTAGCCTCCAGTGAAGTCTAGATAGCCATCCAATGGAAAGAGGTGCCCTTTAGCAAATACCCAAACTCTACAGGGACTTAAATTTAAGTGAAAAGCAGGGAGCTCTATGCAGAGCTACATTCTGTGGGGGGGGGGGGGGGGAACCAGAGGGAACCAGAATATATACACCTGAGGAACCTAAGCAACTCCATTTCACTTAGGACCCCCATCTCAGTCCTGCAACTTAACCCTATGCCTGGAATTATGATATCTGACCCCCATCTCAGTCCTGCAACTTAACCCAATGCCTGGAATTATGATATCTGAAACTCCATAACAGCCCCTCCTAGGGTCTGGTGGCCATTATCTAAACCAGACACCCTGCAGTTTAGCACCTATCCTCTTGAGACTCCCCTGTGGTGCAAGCCAACCAATTTAAAGTATGTCAGCCCCCTTGATCTAACCAACAACTTGTTTCTGATCCTTTCCTGCTTTGTAGTGTGCCAATCATACTATAGAGTTGTTTCATGACTTTCCCGTGGTTTGTAGTCATTTGTTACAAGAAGTTATGATGTATGCAAAGCCCCTGCCTTCCCTAAAAAAGTGAATAAAAAGTGCTGTAACCCTGGGCTCGGGGCCTCTCAGAATCATGGGCTGCTGCCATGTACGCGGGGGGGGGGGGGGGGGGGAGAGACCAAGCTCGAGCTTGCAATAAAAACTCCTTTGCTTTTACATTGGTGATGGTCTCTGGTGGTCTTTTGGGTAAGGATTTCCAAATTCGGCTTTACACACCACAAGTACATATCTGTGCCTAGGACATCCTTGGCCTAGGATTGCTCAGGAAAGGATCACATGAAACTGGTAAGAGATCGCCCCTAAACAGGACAAACAGGAAAGTAGGAAAGGAAGGTTGTCACTGCTTCTTCCCCCTTCTCACTCCTGCCTTTTTCTTTCTTTAAACATCTTGCTATGTAGCACCGATTGACCTTGAACTTGAGACCCTACTGGCTCAGCCTCTTGAGTGCTGGGATTCCAGGTATGCCTCACCATGCCTAGCTCCTTTTCTCCTTACAAATTGTGTGTTATTGCATATATTTCCTATTAGTAGTCATTCCCACATGTGTATCTGCCAGTCATGGGGTTTGAAATCAGGGTCTGGGTGCTGTCCCTAAGCTTCTTGGTTCAAGACTAGTGCTCTACCATTTGAGGCACAATTTCATTTCTAGATTTTTTTGGGGGGGCAGTTAATTGGAGATAAGACTCTCAAGGACTTTGCTGCCTGGGTGGCTTCTAACCTGATCCTCAGATCTCAGCTTCCTGAATAGTTAGGGTTACAGGCACGAGTCACCAGCATTCAACTTCAACAGTATTTTTAAAGAAAAATGGTCTTACTTAGAATACATGGCTATGGTAAATTTTAAGGCCCCTCCAGGGTTAAAGCAGGCTTATAAAGCAAATGACCTAACCCTGGCCTCCACCCCATTGCTTGCCAGAGGCTAGAAATGACACCAAGATAAATGGGCTTTTCTGCAAATGGCTTCTAATTAACAGCAAACCTCATCCAGAACAAATTACTTTCCTCCGACTCCACCCTGTAGACAAACCCTGACACCTGGAGCTGCCCTGGCAGAATTGACAGATGGCTGAGTTCCTGGCATGAGCCAAGAGATTTTTAAGCAGAAATACTTTCAGGAACGGAAATAAGGAAACCTTATTTGACTAAGGAGAAAGGATTCCAAATTCTGAGTCCTATTTTTCTTCAAGAGAAGCAAAGCCAAAGAGTAGTCTTCTTTGGGGGCTGCAAAAGGCAAGTTTGGTGTATTTAGCTTCATAATTTCCTTTGAAAGCACTTTGCCTGTTCACTCTCTCCCATATGATTACTTTTTAAATTTATTTTTCGTGCCAGTTCTGGGGCTGGAACTCAAGGCCAAGGTACTGTCCCTGAGTTTTTATGCTCAAGGCTAGTGCTCTACTACTTTTAGGTACTTAATTGAGGATAAAAGTCTCATAGACTTCCATGCCTGTACTGGCTTCAAACTGAGATCCTCAGATCTCAGATTCCTGAGCAGCTAGGATGACAGGCATGAGCCATCAAAGCCCAGCTCCATGTGGTTACTTTAAAACCAGTTCAGTGAGGTGTAAGCAGAGGATTGGGACCTCTCACATATCCATTTTACCGATGAGAAGTAAGGATGAGGAGAGAGAGATGAAGAGTCTGGCCCGTGGTTACACTTCCCCAAAGGTAAACAGTGCAACCACGCATCAAGTGTGGCCTTTCCTTTCAATTCAGCCTTAACTTTTAACCTACAGGAAGAACATACTAGCCAGATCAAACCAGCAAAGAATCCCTGTGGGCTGAAAAGACCTATGAGGACCTCAGGGGTAAGCGTTTTCAAGAAAATACACATACCTAGGTCACACCAGGAATCTGTAATTTTTTTTTTTTTTAGAAATTCTTTGGTTCATTCTGATGCAACTTTTGAGTGAGAACCACTAAATTACAACTCATATTGCCCACCCTATCCCCACATCCAACCACCTGCCATCTTCCAGTCCCAAAATGTATTGCTCACTTCTCATCTATGTTACCTGAACATGTTGTAAGCTGACCTGAACTTAACTAGACTTTGCTAGATGGAAACATCAGTGCAGAGTTTTGAGATCTCTGAGAATACACATGACTTGCCTAAGATAGCCCAGTGAGTCTGGAACAGAGCAGGACTAAAATCAGGATCAACGGATTACCAGCATGGTCACCCCACAAAGAGGTTTTCCACAAACTTAGTTCTGTGGAAACTCCTGAAACTCTTGCTTGCCTAAGAGATCCAGTGAGGGGTTGAGGAAAAACATGCTCCCCACCACCACCTGTCCACATACACACACAAGGGGAGGGGATTGTTTCAGAGGGAATAGGGGCCAGTGACCCTCCGGTGGGCTCTGAATAAGACTACCCTTGTGATATACTGGAGCAAAGGCCTCTCTAAAGTGGCAGAGGGAAGCCCACCAACAGAAAGATGTCCTCATTTCTTGGGAGGAACACTGAACAAATGTAATCATGATATTCAGTATCTGTTTTGTGGAATATGAACGATACAACTTGTAGGCAGGGATGGGAGGGGAAAGCTGGGGGAAAGTGAAGGAAGGGTCCAAAAAGAAATGTACTCATTACCTGATTAATGAAAAGGTAGTCCCTCTATACAACACATTAATAATAACAATAAAATTACATTTTAAAAAATAACCAAAAAAAAGATATCCTCAGTGTTTGGGGGCAGCTTATACCACTCATACTCTTATGAATGGCTACCACCTGAACACTCCGCCTTCCTGAGCAAAATATTGTATTCAGCCTGCTCCAGTTCATCTCCACATGCATCCTAAAAGGTGGAAAGTAGGGACTGGGAAGGTGGCTCAGGGGTAGAGCGCTTGCCTTGCAGGTATGAGGCCCTGGGTTCGAGTCCTCAGCACCACAGAAGCAGAAAAAGCCGGAAGTGACGCTGTGACTCAAGTGGTAGAGCGCTCGCCTTGAGCTGAAGAGCTGAGGGACAGCGCCCAGGCCCAGAGTTCAAGCCCCACGACCGACAAAAAAAAAAGTGAAAAATAATTACTGTGCATTTGCAGATAAGGAAACGGTGGTGCAGAGAAATGAAGTGATTTCCTCCAGATCACTCAGCTGGAAAGTGATAGCGGCAAAATTCAAAGCCTGGTTGATGTGGGACCCCTTGCCCTCAACCACCTCTGCTCCTCCACCAGACGAAGATGGGGGAAGAGCCCAGTGACAACAAAAATAGTAACTGGCCACCTCGGAGGACGCGAGACAGGTCCAGTGCCTCGCACGCCGCACCCAGGGCGCGCGTGGCCTCCTTCCACCACGGTGCGCGCGCATCTTCCCCCGGCCCGCGGGAAAGTAAGAACCCGGACCAGACCTGGAACGCAGGGGACCCCAGCCACAGAGCCCGACCACTTTACAGACGGATGCGGAGATAAACCCCCCGGGTATGATGGGTGCCGCCAACACGGAACCACAGCCTACCCAGCCTCGGGCCGAGGAGCAGCGGGCTCCGCTGGCACACCCAACCACCCGGCAGGTGCGCCACCGACTCTTCGGCTGGAATCCGCGCGCACCTGAAGCCGCCAGAATGTCCGGATTCCCAGAGAGCCGGGCGAGGAGCGCGCACCCGCTCTCCGCGCCCTCGCGGGGCGGCCAGACCAGGACCCGACCCAGGGCCTGGCATCCGGGCACTCGAGGGAGCTTTACCCCCGCCCCCGCCCACCGCACCCCCTCCCCCACCCGCGGGCCCCGCCGAGGTCACTCACCCAGAACACGGTGGAGTAGATGATGAGTGAGAACTTGAGCCACAGATAAGAGAAGTGCGCGCAATAGCGCACCTGTTCCGAGTCCCCGCCCGGCATCCTGGCGGCTCCCGGCGCGGGGCTTCTCGGCTGGGTCCCGCCGCCGCCGCTGCCGCTCCAGGCCCCACCTGCGGCTGCAGGGCGGCCCGCCCGGCCACCAGCGCTCTCTCTCGGACTGACACTGGCGCGCCGCAATCACGGCCCCAGCCCCGGAGACGGCGCGTCCGGATGGCCAATAGGAGCGAAGCGACGGCCCGGCCTCCGGCAGGGGGCGGGGCGGGGGCGGGGCCAAGGCTGGAGACCCCTGCTGAGATCGGCCGGGCAGAGGGGCGAGATTGGCAAAAGAGTTCGCGTGAGGCTCCGGAATCAGGGCGCAGAGGAGAGCAGAGATGGGCACGGGAACGTGAGGACTGGAGGGGCGACCGGGACCAAGCGAGAGAGTGTATTGCGAGTACCGGGGAAAGCAGGCTTTCGAGTAAAGCCGTACTATAACAATGGCAGTAGTAATAGTAATAGTAATTAGTAATGATAATAATAAAAGAAGAAGGAGAAAGAGCTGGGGGAGAGGAGGAGGAGGCAGGCTTTTTATTGTTGTCAAGACGGAAGAGTATGGAGATAAGGGTTGGAATTAACAGCGGAAGGCATTAAAAATGTAAATGCAAGAAGTGAATAAGGAAGAGGAGTTGCCCAACCTCGGGCGATCGGAGTGCGGCGTGCTGGGCAGGTGAGCTGTCCGGGGTGGGGCTCAGACCCCCCCACCTCCCCCAGCTGCTGGCTCCTCCCGGAAGGAGACTGCTTAGTCCTTTTCCCTTCCTTGGCACCTGGTGTGCCCCCAGAGCCTCTTCCTCCCGGGCAGCCCACGCCCATGCCCCTGCTCATGTTCATGCTCAAGCCAGACACACTCTCAGCCACCTATTCTGACTGGGCTTCTTCCGGCCCCTCCTTTTCCAGGCCTGGCACCACAGGTGGCTGTGATTCTGGTGTTCCTTTTTGAATGGTCCCAGCTTTACTCAAGCTTGTTTTTTCCTCTCTCAGGATAGAGTTTAGGATCTAGGAATCTGTGTTTGTGGCAGTCAGTAATTAAATGCCTGGCCTAGGAGTGGTGAGCTCAGGCAGTGCTGGGTAGGGCCCCTGGTGGTGGTTCTGCGTATAGCATCCTTACCGTAGGTTGCCAGCCCAGGGCTCCCAGGCCTTCTGAACAGAGGCTCTCAGAGAGACAGGTAGAGTGGTGAGCAGGTTAGACCCAGTCCTGGGAGCGCTACAACAACCCTTCCTCCCCTAAAATTAATACTGGGTGTGAAGGAGGCAGTGTGCTACCTGGAAGGGTAGAAAGGAAGCCATTTTCTTGGTAGACAGGCAACTAGCTCTGCCAAGGTGTTTGTTGAGGAAAGAGAAACCCGCTAGGAACCAGTGCAAGTTTTTCTCCATCCTGAGAACCAGAAAGACATCTTCTTAATGTTGAAAGTTATTATCTGTGTCCTTGAAAAGGAAAGGGGACTTTTACAACTCCCTGAGGACTAGAGCCTCTCCCACCTCTGTAGAGTGTTACTTACTTTCTTCCCATCTGTGAGGTTACAGGTTCTGGTCCTTTCCCTAAAAGCTTAAAGCCCTGTCCATTCCCTAAAGGATTGGTTTATCCCCCTGCAATCCCAGAAGCTGGCCTTCAAGTCTCCTTCCCCCTGACCCAGATATCCATGCTCCTCCCCCATCTCAGCCTTCCTTCCTGCTGTACTTTTCCTCATCTTTCCAATATCCAGTGGTGGACTGGGAATGTGGCTTAGTGGTAGAGTGCTTGCCTAACATGCATGAAGCCCTGGGTTCAATTCCTCAGTACCACATAAACAGAAAAGGCCAGAAGTGCTGTGGCTCAAGTGGTAGAGCACTAGCCTTGAGCACAGAAAGGCTCAGGGACAATGCCCAGGCCCTGAGTTCAAGCCCCAGGACTAACAAAAACAGAACAAAACAAAACAAAAATCAAATATCTGGTAGTGATACTCCGTTTCTGAGCCAGCCCACTCAGCTGGCTCTCTCAGTAAGAGCAAAAGATACTAGAAAGTCAGAAAAAGAAAGAAAGAAAAATTGGTTGGGGGTGGATGAAAGCTGTTTCTGATTTCCATTGTGTCAATATTTCTACCACATCTAACTGTAAGTCACTGCCTCAAAGCTGATGAACTTCTGAATCTAGAAGAGCCATGCATGGACAGTCTGGCAGATTGGTGTCCTATACAGTATATACATCTCAGTCCACTCCAGGATATACTGGTTAGGAGAAAGAATGCACTAGTGAAATCTTTAGTAATTAGCAGAACATGAATTAGAGATTATCTTTCCTTTGGTGAAATTAATAGCTTTCAAGATCCATAGACTGATATACACAATGGAATTCTATGCCTCCATCAGAAAGAATGACATTGCCCCATTTGTTAGGAAATGGAAAGACTTGGAAAAAAATTATATTAAGTGAAGTAAGCCAGGCCCAAAGAAACATAGGTCCCATGGTTTCCCTTATTTGCAATAAATAGTATATGACTGAGACAAGTAGAAAAGGTCAGATAAGGTAATGGTAGGAAAATGAATCCTAAGATATGTATTCAAATGTTTTTTTTCTTTCATGCGATTGTTTCTAACACATTTATAAGATTATTTCTTTGTTGCTTTGTATGTCCCTCCCCCACGGTATAACCCCTTGCTTTCACTGTATTTGATGTCAGTATAATTTGTGGAGGGGAAGGGAAAAAACAAATCGTTTAAATAGGGATACAGGTGGACCCATTGCAACAATGAGATGTACAAGTCATTATGTGGAAAACAAACTTTACAACTTTGGTTGCGGGGGAGGATTGGGTGGGAGAGGGAGGGGCAGGATGGGAAGGGATGGGAAGGGGAAACAAAGGAGGAAGCTACAATGCTTGATAAGAAATGTATTCATTATCTTGCCCATGTAATTGTAACCCCTCTCTACAGTATTTTCACACACACAAAAAAAAAGATCCATAGACTGGCTAAAATGGTTTAGATATCTTCCATTTGTTGTTCAAACATAGTTTTTTTAAAAAAACCTAGTAGCAGCTGCTTTCTACTTGGTATACGGAGGAGGCTAGCCATAGTGACCTATACTAATCCCAGCAACCGAGGAGGTGGAGAGAAGGATGTGGTGTGAGGCCAAAACAGGCAATAGTTAGTGAGATAGAGATCTCAAAACCCTTTGATCTAGGGATCTCAAGCCAAATTCAACAATGCCCATGTATGGTCCCAGTTCAAAATGATGGGGCTCCTGTAAAGCCTTGAGTTCAATCCTCAGTAACCACACACACATACGTGCACACACATGTACACATACACACACACATATACACATATGCACAGGTGGTGCACTGGGCTAAATCCCTGATGGGGACCTCTCTCCCATGGATATAACTATCAGACTATTTGAATTCTGCCTCTAGAATGTTCTGTTTTCCCTGAGCAGACTTAACCTACAAGGTGGTAGAGCTCTCTAAAAGGCCAGAGAGATAGGCTTGCATTGACTTCCTAAAGAAATTCTAGACACTGGATTTATGTTCACTTGTTCATAAGGTTTGTTGCGTGGATGCTTGAGTGGGTTGTAGAATGTGTGCTGAGATCTGTCACCATGATAACTAACTTGGCAGAGACATTTAGGAGAAGCAAACCCTTTCCTTTAAAGGCCACTATGGCTGATGGGAAAGAACCTGAGTCTCATGCATCGTTGGTTTTGCATCCATATAGCTGGGCTCTCTCCTCTGGGTGCCTCCATTTCCCTACATGTGAAACAATGAGGTGGGCTGTTTCTAGTCCAGCTCTGATTATCTCAACCAGAATTCTCAGCCAAGAAATCAGTTAATTGACAAATGTATACTGAGCTTCTGTCAGAGACAAGTTCTGCCTGGCTGTGAGATACAGCTTAAACAACAGAGATAAGCTGCTGTCCTATTCTGTAAGGGTAGAGGAGCCCAGGTGGCATGCAATGCAGGAAAACACACATCAGAAAGGATAATGACAAGCTAAAGATCAGAGTCCCAGAAGAGGAAACAGCAAATGGGAAGGCCATGAGACAGGAGAGCCTTGGAGAGACTCCTGTGGCTGATGTGGGGCTAAAGAAGAGTAGAAGGAAGGAGGCTCAGACAGAAAGAAAGCCAGTAGCCTTACTAAGCAAGTGTGGCTGTCTCCAGTTTCAGTGTAGGCCACTGGTCAGGTTCAAGCAGGGAAACGATACCAAATCTGACAGTGCTTTAGAATGTTTGCTGTGGACAAGGAGTGGGAGGAATGGGCTGAGTGACAGGAGGACTAGACAGGAGGCCTAGGCAGCCATCCAGGCAAATCCCAGTGCTAGAAGACTTGGGCTTAGACCAGGGTTATAACATGGAAGCAAGGACAAGCATATGGAGGGCTATGGATTAGAGGTAGAGGAGGGTTAAGTGATGACCTGGATGTAGAATGTGGACCCCAGGGTGGGGGGTTCTTTTTCTTTTTTTTTTAGCTTCAGCAACTAGATAGATTAGATAGATGTTAACTGTCATTTGCAAACATGAAAAATATCAGGAAACTGGTCACAGGCTCTGAGTTCAAGTCCCATGACTAACACAAAAAGGAAGGAAGGGAGGAAGGAAAGAAGGAGGGAAGGAAGGAAGGAAGGAAGAAAGGAAGGAAGGAAAGAAGGAAGGAAAGAAGGAAGGAAGGAAGGAAGGAAGGAAGGAGAAAGAAAAGAAAGAAAGAAAGGAAAAGAAAGAGCCAGATTAATTGCATTTTGACTCATACTGCTTCTTCTGCTCTTCTTGATCTTGTTTTGTTTTGTTTTGTTTTATTTTTGTTTCTTTTTTTGTGCTGGTCCTGGGGTTTGAACTCTAGCCCTGGGTGCTGTCTCGGAGCTTTTGTGCTCAAGACTAGCATACTACTACTTGAACTGCAGCTCCACTTCAAATTCCTTGGCAGTTAATTGGAGATAAGAGTCTCACAGACTTCCTTGTTGACTCTGGCTTCGACCTGCAAATTCTCAGATCTCAGCCTCCTGAGTAGCTAGGATTACAGGCATGAGCCACCAGTGCCTGGCTCATCTGGCCTTTTCAAAATGTTTTTATTGGCGTTGGGAAGGTGGCTCAGTGGTACAGTGCTTGTGTCACATGCATGAGGCCCTAGGTTCCATTCCTCAGC